GAGTGAACAGCACTATAGTGTGACTCCAGACTCTCTCACCGAGAAGATCCAGATACCCCTGCACTGCTTTTCTCTCAGTCTCTTTAAACATGTAGTCCACACGTATGATCAGTAGTACAGCGTGTGGTCCTGGAGGACACAGAGACACACTGAGCAAAATCTCCTGTTTCAGTAACTCAGAGCTCTCCTCTACAGGTTCATCAATCCACCATCCTGGAGCTTCAATGACAGTGATGTGTCTGTCTGCTACTTCTCCATGTCTCCTCACACACTGAGCAGATCTCTTCAAGTCAAACTCCTCTCTGCCCAGGATAGTGTTTCCTGCTGAACTCTTACCAGCAGCTCTATACCCCATTAACACAATCTTCAGCTCTGAGAGATGTTGGGCATCACCTGCAACAGAGAATAAAACACACTGATCCAAAATGATGTAATATTGAGAATCTGTAAATATCTGCTCTATATATGCTACATTTAATACAATCTTTAAGTTATGAAGTAAGGGATAATGTACAGTCATTATTTAAGAAAAACAAATTAATCAGGTTGATCAGGACACAAATGTGAAGCTGAATCTGTGCATTTGGATTATAAACAACATACATGAATTGATAAGCAGTTTTTAACCAACAAACAATAGTATTTTAAATATTAAAAATGGGTTTCTTTTATAAAGATTATTTATGCTTTTTTTAAATAGTTCACAGTAATAATGAGTTTGCTTGAAAACTGAGTATCGTTTATAATACAAAAGTATCATTTATGAATGGAGTTCAGCTTTTTAAAACAGTGCTAATTATAATCCATAGTAAATTTTATTTACTATTTTTGATCATTTCAGTGATCAGCACATCAAGTTTCAGTATTTGTAGTGACTCTACTGGCCAACATTGCTGAAAACAGTCTCTTGTAATCACACATGATCTCTGTCACACAACTCAATAAGCAATAAGAATCGGAAATATTAGTTTGGAATTGATTCTTGGATTCCAAAATTTCTGGAAGTAAGGAGAGGATGTGGTGGTTGATTCTACTACTTGCAAAACATCATAATTGCTGCAAACTGGTATTTAATTTCCATTAAAATATTAAGGTAGTTAGGATACTTCTCACCAGTCAATACAATGAGTATCAACAGTGAATAAATCACTAGTCAGCAGCCAGCTATGAGCTAGTCTAACTATCATTAGCGAGTTTACAAGCTATCATTAAAGAACAAGCAAACCCTTTTCCGTCTTATTTCCTACTGGGCAGGGGACGGGAAGAAAGAGGTAAGTATATAAAATAATAATAATAATCAGTTCAGATTTCCAGAGCTCCAGATTTCAGTCTAATTCATCCAATACCTCATTTTTAATATATTTTGTGCATTTTCAAAATGCAAAGTACTGTATTTGATACATGTATTCTACACAGTATTTTGTATTTATTTTGATATTTTTAAACTATTTTCATTTTAAATACATTTTCATTTATTTGTGCCCATCTCTGCATACAGTATGATGTATTTTAAGTAATTATAGTTATTCATAAAAATATATTTAACATGTACAACTGGCCTTCTAAATCAATTAATAGGCTAAATATTTTTCTTGTGTGCACGCACACACCTGGAAAGGGAAACGGCATGCAATTACGCATCACTGCACTCATGGAAATTCAAAGAACACATGACTGTAATTCTTGGGGGACAAAAATGAAAAGCCTTACCTTTACAGGTAGCCTTACCTGATATGGAGATTAAACTGCTTAATTAAAACTGTTTACTATGAGTGAAAATGCAATTATTTTTGAAAGAACAAATGCTTACCGAAGTCCATCTTTCTGAGTTTCACAGTACATTTAGTTCCACCAACAGTCTAGCAGTCTTTACTTTCAGTTTACTTCCAACATGTAAACCAATCTCTCCATCACTTGAAGTTCAAGTAAAATTAAAATAACTGGATACATTTGTTTCTAAAGCTGATGTTCAAGGTTATGTTAGCTCTACGAAACAAGCTATTAACTTAAGTTGAAATCCATCTGATATCTTTAAGTCAAAGTTCAGTCATAAAATACCTTCAGATACAATTGACCTCAAACTACAGTGCCTCCTTAGTAAATAATTAACTTACTGAACTTGATCAAATAGACTCTTTGTACACTTTGGACCAAAGACTGTAGGGTCTCGTTTAGAAATAAGAAGCATATTATATATACAGTATGTACATATTATGTGTAAACATAATTTTGACGAAAAATGTTTATAAGAGCATACCCATTTGTAGACAGCTCTTTAACAACTGGAAGTGGACAGATGTTATATCATTATTTAATCTTCAAAGTACTTACTGTACATTGTTACAAAAACACAAGTATAAGATGCAAAGGTACAACATGGCCACTTCCTGAAAATAATAGTTTCTTACATTTAGTACAAAGGTGTTGTTCAATTTTGTGTATTGTGCAATTTTCAGATACAATTTTTTAAAATTCCCACATTTTTAGATTAAAAACTATTAAAACTGAAGGAAGAAATGCATATAAAAATAAATATTAATAAATGATACATTTACAGAAATAATATTAGTTTAATTGTTATTTATTAGCCACTTAGTATTCTATACTTCTCCGGTTAGTCTAAAAGTCAGTTTTTTTTATATATTTCAGTTAAAAAATATTTTTTATTTATAATTCTCCAAGATTGACAACTGTTAAAATGTATTAAATGCATTGTTATATTTACAGAAATAATATCAGTTTCATTGTTATTTATAAGTCACTCAGATTTATGTCGTCTGCTGTTCTTCAGGATGTTCAGAGCTCTTCTGAATGATTGAGATCCCATCCATATCCAGCTCCACTGAATGAACACTGAAGGAACCAATGCCCTGTCAAAACATCAGCAAGACCAACAATATTCATAACATGCAATTTACTTTAACCATTTGTTTTTCTGTTTTTAATAGTGTTTAAGTTAAAAGTTATTTATGTGACCCTGGACCACAAAAAAAGGGTCCATTTTTTAAAAATTTAGATTTATAAGCTGAATAAACGAACTGTCCATTGATGTATGTTTTGTTAGGATAGGATAATATTTGGCAGAGATACAAATATTTGAAAATTTTGGAATCTGAGAAAAATCTAAATATTGACAAAATCGCCTATAAAGTTGTCCAAATGAAGTCCTTAGCAACGTATATTACTAATGATAATACATTTTTCGATATATTTAAGGTAGGAAAATTACAAAATATCTTCATGGAACATGATCTTAACTTAATAATGATTAATGATTTTTGGCATAAAAGAAAAATCTATAATTTTGACCCATATAATGTTCTATTGGCTATTGCTACAAACATGCCTGTGCGACTTATGACTGGTTTTGTGGTCCAGGGTCACATATATTAAAAAGTTAAATATATATATATACAGTGCCTTGCGAAAGTATTCATACCCCTTAATTTCTTTCACATTTTGTTATGTTGCTGCCTTATGTTCTGATTCCAATACTTGAATTTCCTTTTCTAGTTGTGAAATTCTGTAGTTTCTGGATGCCTTCATGTAAGAAGCAAATGCGATAGCTTCGCCCCTAATAAAGCATTTGGTTGTTTCCCAGAGTATTTGGGGTGAAGATACTGATTCCCGATTGATTTCTAAAAACGTTCTGAGATTGACTTTCAATTGTTTCAGAAACTCTGAGTTCTGAAGTAACGTTGTATTAAAGCGCCACCTGTGCGCACGTTTAGCAGGATTCCGTGTAAGCTCAAAGGTATATAGCACAGGCGCATGATCTGAAATAATGATAGGAAGAATGTCTACAGATGTGATTAATTTATTTAATTGCGGCGAAACAAAAATGTAGTCTATTCTGGAAAATGTCTTATGCCTACAAGAGAAGAAGGTATAATTTTTCACTAGGGGATAACGTAGACGCCAGGCATCAATAATATTTAGTTCAGTAATAAATGTGTTAATCCTGGAAGGTGTATCCAAACCAGAACTAATATTTGCTGATCTGTCCAAAGTTATATTACAGACTTGATTGAAGTCACCACCAACTACCATTAGGTATTCTGGCATGTCTAAAAGAGTGGCAGAGATTGCATTGAAAAAATTGGGATCAGGTATATTTGGACAGTATATTGATGCAAAACAAATTTTCAAATGATGAACTGTTACAGCCACATACGAGAAACGTCCTTCACTATCTTTTCCACATTTATCAATAGTTACTCCTAATTTCCTATCAACCAGAATAGCAACACCTTTAGATTTGTTTGATGCAGAAGAATGAACTACACACTTGTAGCATCTATTCTGAAATCTATGGATATCACTCATTTTTAAATGTGTTTCTTGGATCAGAGCGATCGAGATATTTTTACGTTTAAGAAATTCTAAGCACTTTGTTCGTTTAATCGGCGAGTTTAGGCCGCGGACATTCCACGACATTACATTAAGAGGTATATGGGTTTTTGGGTTTTAAAGATCAAACTTTTAAAGTGTAGATGGGCCTCCACAGAATTTAAACATGAACACAAAAACAATGTACAGTGGTACAGTGGACATAACTTACACAAACACTGCAAGGCTTTGGCGATAGAACACTTAACAAAAGAAAATAGAACGTTACTATCCATCCGCAAGAGACAAGACTTAGAATTCTCTCTCTTTGGGTGGAAAAAAATAAACAAAACTCAAAGTTCTACTGCCTGTGGCTGTCGAAAGCAACACGTCTTAAGTCCAAGTCTAAACGAACATCAGAAATATTAATATAACCCCTCAGACCTATCTAGACAAAGGCCATTTTGCTTACCGAATTCAGTTGTGTCGATTAACTAAATTGTGAAGTGACATTGGAAGGGTTTTCCTGGTCATCAAATGCGATTGGAAATGAGGACGTAGAAGTACTCGGCGCATCAATCGTTGAAAGTGAGGCATGATCCGATTCCAGCAGAAACTTCCCTGCATCATCGGCGTTCTTGAAGTGATGTAGCGTTGCGTTGAACTTCACTTTCAGAGTTGCTGGATATATCAGGAACGGACGCAAACCCTTGTCTGTAAACTGCCTTCTCACACTGTCAAACGATCTTCTCTTCAGAGCCGTTTTGTTGCTAAAATCCGGGAAAAATAACAGCTTGGATGAGCCATGTATTATCTTGGACTGGGGTGCTCTGGCTCCATTAAGAATTCTCTCCCTATCCTGGTATCTGAGAAGCCAGAAGATAAGCGTTCGAGGGCGGTTTGTCTTGTCTCGGCTGCCATAAAGACCAGAGAATCCTGTTTCTCAGAGTCTGAGGGTCCTTTAGGTGCGTTTTTGTAAATTCCAAGTGGGTTTTCATGTGTCTTCACTGAGGAGAGGATGGCGTTTGGCCACACTGCCATAAAGCCCAGATCGGTGGAGTGTTGCAGTGATGTTTGTCCGTCCAGACATTTCCAGGAATACTTCGGAGTAAACTATTCTGAATTAATTTCTGAATGTAAAGATATTAACTCGAAGTTTTGGACTTTTGAGACGGAGCTCAGTTCTAGGCGTGCATCACTCGTGCCCAGCCACCGGAAGTCCCAGTTTTTTATTTTTAATACATTTGCAAAGATGTTAAAAACCATTTTTTTGCTATATAATATACAGTATATTTGCTATATATAATGCTATATATATATAAACACACACACACACACATATTTTATATATTTCTTTCAAGTTTAATGGCAGATTTTTGCACCTAAGTGAAAGTTGTAGAAACCAGACCATTAATTGTGGTTTTAAACTACTCTTTATGGTCAGAACATGACACTTCGAGTTTTTGAATTCTTTATGATTTTTCAGTCATTTTTCCTCAACAAAATAAATATCTTAATATATGGTTTCTAAGCATTTGTATGAACGGTAGTCTAAATACATTTAAATGCACAAACGCTATAGCTTAATCACTAAAAACACTAATTACTGTATA